TCAAGTAGAAACTGACAAGAACCGGATGAAACAGCAAAAATGAAGACAAATTTATTTCCAATATAAGATCAAAATGGTCCCACACTGAGGGAACCTTTTGTTTGAAGCTGCTCCATAGTTGACACTGTAGAAGATCAAGAATTTGTTTGGCAAATGCTTTTGACAGATTCTCTCCCTTATAAACACAGTTTGGCGTTTAATGTGATTTCGAAACAGTTCCTGTATCGATCACGTGACTTACTGAAACCAATACACGCACCGAAACGGGTTTTGGTCTATGGGCTTGATGCATGCGCCGACGCATCGGTGTTGCCGGATCCATCACTAGTTATAATAAAGTAAACAACAAAACGCATAAAAAGTGAACTTGATCCACTGATGTATAACTAGGATTTATTGAAATGCAGGAGTGACTTGAACTGAATTAACTGTTCTTAGTGTCTTGAAGCAACAGTTGTTGTGAAGTGACGATACTTAAACTGAATTAAATAAAAGCATTCAGATGGAAATTCTAGATTCCAGATTCAGTCCTAAAAAACATGAATGAAATGACAAACTGATTATTTATGAAACAAACGTCTGGTCAGACGGGGCAAAGATGACAAAAAGTGAAAAAAAGTGACAGATTTACAACACACAAAACATTAACTGGTTTTTGCCCTGTTGTTTGTGACTGTACCTCAGCAGAAGCCCAGTCCTTCTGAGTATCCTGGAAGAGGAAACACTGATTTCCATACTTAGACCAGCCAGTCGGACATGGACGATCTGGGAAATGCAAAGAAGTGCAGCAGATCCTAAATAATGACTTTTATTCTCAAAATGAATTTGAAGAAATTATATGTCTTATTAAATGGAACAGAAGACTAGCAGCAAAATCCTTGTTCTTCATAAATAAATGACAATGTATTGAGGGAAAGCTGAGTCGAACATTAAACTTCTCTTATTTAAATCCATCACACAAAGTAAACATTTAAAGCTGTATTTGCTGCAGTGTTAATGTGTAAGGCTCACAGAGCATCAGAACCCAAACGTCTCGGAAACTTTTATTACATCAGATCAATTTTACAAAGCCATAACATGATCTGCACAATCATGGAGACGACAGCTGACTGGACGGATGTCCCTCCACAAGGAGGCAAGACACTAGAGGTCAATGCTAGCTGGTTGTTAGCACAGTGCTAACCAAAGATATTCATAAAAAGCTGAGTGAAAGAAACAAGTGTGATAGGATGAGGCCCATAGCTGCAGGAATTAGAGCAAAAGGAGCCCAGGCCAGGTGCTGAGAGCTTAGAAACTGTCAAGTTTAAAGGTACAAAGTATTAATTACAACTTTAATATTCTGTATATTTTAACTATATTTCATGTATTTGATCAATTTTAAACAAAAACTTCCAGAGGGAGCTTTGAAGAGGCCAAATAGTGAGCTTAGCGATGGTCCTTAAGTTTAAAGTCCTTTTCCTCAGTTTCAGTGGCTGCTGTCTGTCCGAAGCCATTTCTGTTTAAAATATATTTTATCATCAATCAGATGTAATATTCTACTTTTTATAGACACTAAATTTGGGTTTTCATTCTCTGTGAGTCACAATTATCAAATGTAATATGTAGTATTTGTATGTGTAAGAAAATCTATACAATATAATGAGTCTGACTGTCTGACATAAGGGAAATAAAATACTGAACTTTTCACAGCAACTTTATTTTAAATGTGTTTGTAAATGCAGTAAATGTCTCTTCATTCTGTGACTCAAACAGCTTTAAGTCTGAACACCTTCAGCTGCCTCATCTACATTTCCTCAATAATATTTTATAATCTGTTTTTCACTCAGACGAAAAGAAGATGGCAGACTCACGTCGGCTCCGTTCCAGAGTACGCAGCTCAGAGAGACGAGCAAAGCCAAGTAAAGAACTGAGGCCATCTGAGGGAGAATCGTCACAAATAGTCAGATTTTCAGAAAAATAAAATTACAAAGCCTGTCATTTGTATTCACATCCAGCATTGCTAACTAGCCATGGTTTATACTTGTTTTTATCAAATAAATAAAATAAAAAATACAATGTTTGCACATTATGTATTCATAAAACAAGCAAGAAACAAAAAGAACAACCAATAAATTACAATCTTTGAGTTCTCCTCAGTCTAAAATCTGGCCCTGATCACTTAAGGATTTTTAGGTTTTGTTATTTTACAACTTCAAACATCTTTGATTTGATGTTATAGACAAACAGAAAGTAGATTAAATGTGGAAGTGGAGGAAAAATTTTAATTAGTTTTCCTTAAAGAGGATAAAACCCTACTGCATAATATAACCGTTACCTTCTCATTTTGAACTCTCTCAAACCTGAGGAAGCACTAAGGTTTGATGAATTACGTCCAGATTTCTGAAGCAGAAAGGACCAGCCAGCAGAGCGGGCAATGGCTCAGCTAACGAGGCTAACGATGCTAATGAGGCTAGCGATGCTAATGAGGCTAGCGATGCTAATGAGGCTAGCGATGCTAGCGATGCTAATGAGGCTAGCGATGCTAATGAGGCTAGCGATGCTAATGAGGCAGGTGGAACACTGACTGCAATGCATGCTGCGAATTTACCTGAGACATTTTGAGAAATTTCTGGAACATCTTTCAGTCAACTAGAATGATTCATTTGTGATGTTAGACACTTAAACTGACTGAGTCAGGGCAAGAACAAAGCGTCAGTGACCTTGAGTCCAGTGCTAACGTTGTTAGCCAACTCTTTGAGTGGCTTGAAGCTACAAGTTCAGAGCTACAGGAGGAAAACAGGCGGCTGGAGCTGAAACTTCCTGGCAACAAGAGGAGAAATAGGCGCCGAAACAAACAAACTCAGTAAGCTGAAGGTCCACAGCTGACCGTTTTCTGTTCTTAGCTACATAGTCAGAATATTTTAGGCTGTACAGTGGAACGAGGCAGAGCTGACCTTTAGGTGACCTCCTATTTGCCCTAGCAACTGAAACTCTTGTTGCTGTGGACCACAGCAGCAGGGAGATGCTGGACTTTGGTAGAAGTTTATTTTTGATCACAAGTCATCAACAAGTTATGCTGATGCCTTGCTTTTCTGTTTCTGACCTGCTGAAGTCAAAACTCCAGATATAAAATCATTTTGGAAAAATATCTGGGTATAAAAACATAAAATAAAAGCAAACAGATTGTTTTTGGTCCAAGTGACCTTTATTTAACAGGAAGCAGAAGAGAAAGCCTGCCTACATATCTAGGTAAATAAGGTCTATAACCCCATTAGGATGCAGCATCAACCACCCTGAAAAAAGTCCTCACATCTATAGGAAAGTCACATATTTTCATATTTGCTCAGGTTTTTTGTGTCTTTCCTTTGAGACAAATGAAGAAACTTCCTGACTGACAAATCGCTGCATCGTTGCTAAAGACGAGCGTGAGCCCCCTTAGAAATTGTTGTTCATATTCAGTATCTGATGAAATGACAAAGGGTCTATTTGAATGTTAAAATATATAAAGCATTGAGATAAAGAAGAAGAGCTCCAACGTTACCGTTCTTTGGGTTGTGAGCAGTGAAGTGCGTCTCAGCATCAGTACCTGGTACCAGGATGTTCAGGGATGGGAGCGCAGCCTTTAAATACCCTCACTGGGTGGTGTGACCATCATATGTCAACACCATCAGGTCAAATGGTTAATATTTCCACAGTCTACATTTCATGAGCAAATACAAAGGTATCAGCTAAGATGATGAAACTCCCACAAGCTGCTGCTGATGGACGTCTGATGTAACTTCTGTTTTACACACAGACAGAAATGATTGGTCTGGTCTTAATGATGAATTAATGCCACTGCAGGCTTTATAAAATATAAATCCATGACATGCCAACCACTGACTGACCAGGTTTGTTGGCGTCTCCAGGCCGTTTATGTTCTGATGTATCTGCAGACATTTCTGTGAAATCTCCCCATCTATAAAATTTACTGTCTGTAGAGTCAGAATGTGAGGTTTGTTCACCTGTTTCACCCTGACCAGATCAACAGATCAGAAAAAGGTTCAACAGGCAGATGACTGCAGAGCAGCAGGACTTCTCTCTTCATAAGAAGTCGAGTCTTTCCAATTATTGTTTGTTTAAAAAGTAAAGCATTAGATTTTTTTGGTCTGTTTAAAAAGCCTTTCTGTGGGTGGAAACTCACCATTTTGATATTGGTAATTATAAAATGATCTGTCAATGCTGTAACTGATGAAAATAGAAAATCAACTAATCAATGACTATTGATTTCTAATTTAGTCCAAAATGAATAAAACATTGTTTTCCAAAAATATCATCTTGTGCATTGTGAAGTGGTTATTTGGAATATATAGGATCTATTTTATCCAGCTGATTAGTGCGGTGTAATATGCTGACGCCATCAGATCATGTTTCTGTTTGCCTGAGGCGAGCCGATCCTCACAGGAACCTGGGTGTGAGCTTCACTCAACAGATCATCTGACATCCAGAGATCAGGTTTCATCCAGAAACGTTTCTCCAGAACCGACAATGTCTACAGCCAGCTTCCTGTTTTCTTCAAGTCCAATTTATTTATACATTTAAAACACAAGTTTAACCAAAGTGCTGCGCAGACATAAGATGAGCAAGAAACATTAATAAAATAGAGCAAAGATCATGTCAGCTGACACCAACCACTGATCATTTTGAAGACATAAATATATATTACAGACTTTATTCCAATTATATTCTAACTGCCCAAAGAAGAAATTAAATTGACAGAAATTACAATTTACAAAATATAACATGAATGGCAACAACAATGAGTTTACATATCAGTCACTTTAACAGGCTCTGCTAAATGTAGGATCACCATCAGCAAAGTGACTATTAGTTAATGACTTCATCACTGAGCCTAATATTGATGTTAGTTGGATGACAATAAGGAAATCCATCTCTGTCCTGGGGTGTCCTGTTGACCCAGAGGTGGCAGACAGGAGGACTAAGCTGGAGTACCCGCCCCCCCATGCCGCCCTCTCTGACAGCACTGAGCAGCTCCTTCAGTGTCCGGCTGCGGCTCCCTAAGAAGCAAAGATACTGCAGGTGTTTCCTTCTGGCCGCCTCAGACTGTCCAACACCTGCTGCTCTCAGTAGGTCACTGCTCTCTACTAATGAACCTGTTTGTTTTACTCACTTATCAATGGTAAAGTGCTCAACTGTGTATAATATCAAAATTCACCATGTATAACATAACTTGCCTATCTGTCACTATGTGCAATATGACTTACATTACTATTTCATTTATTATTTATTTTAATCTATGTGTAACATCACCTATCTACCTACCTTAACATATACACCTGGAATTTACTTATTTTTATATTTCATACTATATTGTTTCAGTATTTCTATATTCACTTGTATTTTTTTTTATATATAGATTTTTTATATTTTTATATTGATTCTGCTCTGTCCTCAGTACTGCTGTAACAATGCACATATCCCCACTGTGGGATTAATAAAGAAATATCTCATCTTATCTTATCTTATCTTATCTTATCTTATCTTATAATTATCTGTACTGATTTAATCACCTAATTACAAATTTTCAAGTGAGACTAAGATCATGAAACAGGAGGAGGGGTTGCTACAATAATTCAAGAGTCACTGAACTGAAAGTTTTCTGGGAAAATTTGACTCTTGAATATCTGAGAATTAAAGTAAAAACCCATAAACAAACTTTGACTCTTATACAAAACTCTTCAAATATGTGGAAACTTTCTTCATTGACTTTAATGAGCTTTTATCTGTTATAGGCATTGATTATGAGTATTTAATGATAGTGGGAGATTTAGGGCCTGAAGACGGAGGGGAAAAGTGACGTGATATTCTTGAACATGTTGGATTAAATCAGCATGTTACACAGCCAACACACTCCAGGACACACTGGACCTGATTGTCAGTAAGAGTGGGAATGTTTCCAGTGTCTCTGTAACTGATGTCGGCCTGTCTGATCATTTCTACCTTTGAAAGTGAAAACAGCTGTTATAAAATATTCTGTAGGACAACAGCAGAAACTTTTAATCAGATCTACTTTCATGGCGCCTCTAAGCTGTAACCATGGCGATGAGCTGGTCGATAACTTCCATTCTTTGATTGATTGATTGATTGATTGATTGATTGATTGATTGATCCTGTGTGTCAGCAGTGATCTGATCAGCCTCCAAGTTTCCTTCATGTCTTGTGAGGTCAGTTTGTGCTGGAGTTATTTTTGTTACTCCCTCAGTTAAAGTCTGTTATGTTGCCCTTTGTTGGCCTTAATTTATGGTTTTGTGAAACGTTTGATTTCTTTGTAATAAATGAAGAATCTTTTTTGAAATCAGTTTCTCTCTGGCTGGTCTGTGAAAATAGATGATCTTTGATTTCAGAGGTGGGTTGTACTTTGCAGACTCCAGGAGTAAAGAGGGGCAGACAGCTGGTTAGGTGTTAACCCTTTCAGAACAGGAAGTTAGTTGGGAACCAAGTTCACTTGGTTTGGTAAAAGTTAAACCTCAGTGAAGAAAGTTGGAGGGAAGAAGTTCAGCACAACGAAGGCTGAACTGGGGCCTCTGCACATGTAGAGGTCACATTGATCTAAACACAATCAGAAATGGTTTCACAGTGTAGGACTGACTTAGAGCTGCACAAGTCAGATACACAAGTCAAAAATCTACAGTTTATATCTTCAGATTCTGTAAAAGACTTTAAAATATCTTCCAAACTTTACAAGCTGCCACTGAAACATCTTAGCTTAAACCTGGAGGCTCAGGCATCATGATGGGATGAATGATGGTTTCATGTTTTCACTGCTTTGACGTTACCATGGAGATTCAGAGACAGTTACTCAATAAACTGTCTTAATTTAAAGTTTATCATCTTTTCCCAAAGAAATAAAACGATATGACAATAAATGTTTATTCATATGACAGATTTATTTATCCTTGTATCTTCCAGCAGCGACGCCATCGAGGAAGTGACATCACCAGTGAGAAGGTCACATGGTCATGTTGGATTTCTCAGGAAGAGGAAGGAGGAGTTA